TGTGTGTGTGTGTGTGTGTGTGTGTGTGTGTGTGTGTGTGTGTGTGTGTGTGTGTGTGTGCGCGTGCGCGCGTGTGTATATGCAACTGAATGTAACACACGGCTTCCAAATTTTCAACATACGTTTATATGAATTTCTCAATGTAACACGCGATTCTAATGCATTGTGGAAATTTTAAAAAGTTAGATAAATAACTAACTCATAGTATCAGTCAATTAGCTGCTGCCGTGTCTTACGTTCAGTTGCATATGCACGCATACACACACATACCCACACACACACACACACACTCTCTACTCGCCCGCCCGCCCAGGCGCACTCGCGGTGTGTGTGTGTGTCCAAAAATTACATTCATTTTTTGTAAAATCTTTTGTTAATAACTTTTTAACGAACAACGAGTGACGACCAAAACCTTTAGAAGATCACTCAAGATGATGACCTCTGTAACATATGACAAAGTCAAGGTCATTGGGGCAGCCTCGCCTAAACAGGAGCTTTACCATAACTTCTTTTGTTAATAATTTTTTAACAAACAATGACGGATAAAACTTTTTGAATATTACTCAGGATGATGACCTTGACAACATATCTGAAGGTAATCGTCCTCGGAAAGTGGTCCGTTGTTTGACAATAATTACCAAAAACAAGTAAACTTTGTCTGAAACACTTCTTTGTGTGTGGGAAGTGTTCCTATCAAAAGTTATAAACATTTAAACTTTAATGTATAGTACATTGCAATAAATGGTAAATTAAATAAGACTCACAGTTTTTCTGTTTTGTTTTATTTTATTAAACGTTCGAACTGACTATTAACATCTAAACACTTATTAATTTTTTTTACAAAACTTTGCCTAACTCTAATCAATATTTCTGAGTTCACCTTAGTGCAAGCTGTACGTATTCTTCGTTTTAAGTCTTCCTTCGTCGTAAGTGATTAAGATATGACTTCCTCTTTGATATACCCCCATTAAACAGGTGTAAGATCAATGAAATAGCTAAAAATTTAAATGTTTATAACTTTTGATAGGAGCATTTTCCAAAGAAATGTTTCAGACAAAATTTACTTGTTTTTTCCCGTAGAATCCAAATATATAACATTGTATAGGAAGTCCCATTTGAACCTTTAAAGTTACCCCTCGCCCCTCTTCAAGGGAGGACGAAAGTGCATTTTTATTTACGTAGTTAGAAAGACCCCTCGAATTATTGAAACTTTCTTATGAACATTTTGATCAAGATTTTTTAGGACAAATATATTTAGAGTTATTAACTTGTAACACTTTACGTGGGCCACCCTGTGTGTGTGTGTGTGTGTGTGTGTGTGTGTGTGTGCGTGCGTGCGTGCGTGCGTGCGTGCGTGCGTGCGTGCGTGCGTGCGTGCGTGCGTGCGTGCGTGTGTGTGTGTGTATATGTATATGTACATATATGTATGTATGTATGTTCGCGCGCGCGCGCGCGCGTGTGTGTGTGTGTGTGTGTACAACTTTTGTCTGAAACATTTTTGCTGAATATACTTGGCTGAAGAATTATCAGGATGTATCTTTTAAAATGGGATACTACACACACACATACACGCGCGCGCGCGCACACACACACACGCACACATATATAAACTAATTTGAACACTTTTTGATACAGTTTGGAACGCAGCTAACAGTAATAAGAGAACTTTTAGAAATTAATGAAAAACATTTTTTTTTCTCATTGGATCATTAGCTACCCCATTGGCCATCTGAAATGCATTGAAGAAAAAGTGCACTGTTTTGAAAACAAGTATATATAATTTGCTTGCTTATATTATTTCATGCACCCTAGAAAAAGATTATCTCAAAACATTCTTGTAATGTATTTATAAATGATATTCCTATGTTTTTCTCTTCCAATTCTACATGCAATTCACAATAAAGAATTATCTTATCATATTTTATGGTCTGTTCTTTTCAGCTGCACTGCTGAACCTGGTGCTGAACCTGGTGCAATAAGTTAGAGTGAAAAAAAATATACTTGTCTCACTTTAACTTATTGAACCAGTTCAGCAGTGCAGCTGAAAAGAACAGACTATTACTTTAATTCAAAAAATTAAAAACTTCTGCAATTTATGATTTACACATCTACTCAGTGTTACATAGTTACACTGTTATGAGATAATGTTCTGTTTTCATCTTGCATATAATAATATGAGCGAGTAAATAATGTACATCATCAAAACTGTTAATCGCTTTTAACTTTAAAAAGTTGATTTTTTTATTCATGTTTATATTTTTCACGTAGCTTAGTAAATCTAGGCTATAAATGTAAAAACCTTTTTTTCATCGTGTTCTATATATTGAATGTCTGACTTATACCGTACCAGAGCTAATATATAGCTAGAATAGGTCGGGGTGAGTAATGGAATAGGTGCCTTTTTTTAAAAAACCACGTGAAATTTTGAGATATTAACAACGAAAGATTTCTACCGAGCGGCAGCCCACTGGCTAATCAACACACGCGTTGCGGTGAGACGAACGCTGTATGCGCTGTAACATCGGCATGACAGACTAGCCGGCCCAGCTCCCTAGCAATGAGAAAAACGCGTTGCTAGGAGGCTGGATTGGTTAGTCTATCATGCCGATGTTAAACAGCTGAAAAGAACAGACCATAAAATATGATAATTCTTTATTGTGAATTGCATGTAGAAATGGAAGAGAAAAACATAGGAATATCATTTATAAATATATTACAAGAATGTTTCGAGATAATCTTTTTCTAGGATGCATGAAATAATATAAGCAAGCAAATTATATATATTTGTTTTCAAAACAGTGCGAATACTTTTTCTTCAATGTATTTCAGATGGCCAATGGGGTAGCTAATGATTCAAAGAGAAAATAACATGTTTTTCATTAATTTCTAAAAGTTCTCTCATTACTGTTAGCTGTGTTGCAAACTATCAAAAAGTATTCAAATCAGTTTTGAAAGCAGTATACACAAACCAAATAAAAATTCGCTTCTAAAAGATCTTTTTACTCATGTCCACTAAACATATTATATTTTGCTCAGTTTAATGAGTACTGTATATCCTATAAGTCTTGAACTTGTTTTAACACCAAATATATTACTATGTATATTTACACACACACACACATATATGTATGTGTATATACATAATCTTATTTTTATAATCTTGTTCTCGTGTTTTAAATAGCAAAACAAAAAAAATTATATAAACTCATGTACAAAAATAAATAACAATTATATTTTGTAGATACATTAATGCAACCATAAAAAAGATATATAGAAAAATAGAACTATATAAAACTTTCTTCTATTTTGTTTATATTTTCACTTAAAAGATATATAGCTTGACAAGGTTCCTAAAACTATCTTATTTTCCTATTACTAACCTTCGTAAAGAAATTATATTGTCCCTTAAGAATATTTTGTCCATTGAGAAACTTGCTCTGTGCTTTCTCCGAAACATTTTCAGCAAATCCCTTCATGTTGTGAAATATCCAATGTTTTTTGAGTCCTCTTCTTATCAACATAACTAATTGTCGATAGTGTTCTGTTATCATTTGAAATATAAATATATATAAGGAAACTAAAGTAAACTAAATAATAAATCAAAGAGTCACATGCCGAAAACACTCTCACAAGCCGGCAGAAGTGACAAGCAAATCCTAAATTTAAGGTTGCCAGGTTCCAGCAAAGAAAAGCCTCTCTCTCTTTCTTTCTCAATGGCTTGATTTACATTAGAGTCTAAGGGCTTTCACACATGAAATGACATAACCTTTGACTATATAACCATAGACTGCTACCTTGTGTCTGCAGCAAAACGTCTGTCAACATCTGCAGCGCCGCCAGGACCAAATAACGGCTATCATATACTTGTGATTTCTATTTTACCATGTGAAAGATATTTTATGTGTGTGTCCGTGATCATAAATTGCAGTTACCATTAAAATACATGAAAAATATATTTCTTTAGTCGTTAATAACAGATTTTTTTTATTTTTTCTTCAAATAAATTATTACATTAAAAAAAAGTTATACAACTTTGCTATAGGGTGTTTACGACAATTCGAGTTAGAGTTAGTTCCACTAGGGCCGAAATAAGTTACAGACATCACCATCTACTACTATTATGATTCATGACAACCCAAAGCTACCCAATGCTGTCTCACGACTGCAAGCAGTGGATTAGGCAGAACAATATCGTGACAGATACATCACATAGGTAATAATTTTGTAAAATCCTATGATTATATCATAAAATCATGTAGTATTGTTTTGTTACTTAATATATTTTACCAGCAAGAACCAAAGCACGGTTATTCTAAAGAATTTTAATAGATCTGTTTTCGACAGGGTTTTGCTTTCTGCAATGGAAGACTACTCGAGAGAAGTAAATAGGTTTGTTCTTTCGACCTGAACTGGCTGCACTAGTTCACGAAGTTTGCACTAATGCGTTCTTTCGATCAGAACAGTGCAAGAAAATGTATTCTTTCGAACAGTGCAGGCTGAACTAGTGCAGCGAGTACAGTGAACTGACTGCCCTAGGTCTGGAGGTAGAGCAAGCAGTGCAGGGCAGCTAACCGAAAAAATTTAAATTTGTATCTATAACCTGTAAAATCGGTATACCTAGTTGACATTACGTAGAAGAAATAATCCGACGACGGAATCTATAAACAGTAAATAAATACTTAAATATATAATAAATATATAATGTAGATAAATATATAATAAATATATAATGTAGAATGACATAAAAGAAGTATTTAGAATGTTATCCAAACAGCACAAAATATCCGAAAGACATCCTGGGAAGGCTCTTGGACGTTTTTTCGGAGGGATTTGTTGTATGGGTATCCAACACAAAACAGTTTTTAAAAGAAATAGGATTGTTCGACAAAACATAAAATGCTATAAGTGCAAAAACATGACCATAAATTGATCTATAATTGATCAATTTATTGATCTTATTTAATCCAGCCATGTTGTCCGCCATCTTACACTGCTCTAACTTGCTCTTACCCGTTCTTTTCAGACCCATATATATCTTTGCACTGGTCTGCACTATCTTGAACTTTCTTCAACTAGTACAGTTCCAGTGCAGCCCTAGGTCAGATCGAAAGAACAAACCTAATGTTTGTGGTATGTACATAAAAAATTTCTAAATAAAAACAAAGTTATGTAAAGGACAAGATATAATATTATTATAGCCTCTGTAAATATTATGACCATCTTTAAAATCTTTGTTTAATATCTTTATTAATAGGTGACAAATTTAAACAATTACTTATAGAATCATTTTGTTAGTAGCCCACCATAATGCTAATATGCGAATACACAATAGTCGATATTTTGTATAATGTATTTTTATATTTGAAAACTGTTCCAAGCACTGTTTTAAAATATTGATTATTAACAAAGTTATTATACAAAATGTAAATAGAAAACGAATATAATATCATCTCTACAAATTTATTATTCTAATATTTTGCAATAATAGATAATTTTCATAAAATTAGTGAATTACAGAGTTCAATGGACAAACGAGATGGTCAAATTGTTGCTATAAAAAATGAGTGAGCATCCAGAATCTGTCAGGCATCCATGCAACAAACAAATTTGGAAAATTATTGCTGTATCTATTAACATACATGGTTACAATTTGACCGCAGAAAATTGTTGTACCAAATGGAACAGTATGAAAAAAAAATATAAAACGTTAAAGAATGTAAACAATCATACTGGTGAAGCAAGACACATCTGGGAACATTTTTATAAAATGAATGATAAACACGAATCCAACATTTACACCTTTATCAATAGCATCAAGGCGGATTTACAATAAATGCAAATGCTTTAAATAAAAATAATGAATACTTAGATCAGGACACAGAAAATTTCGAACCAAGTCACTCTTTAAATAATCGACCGATAAGGAAAAGACGAACTAATGTACCGAACTGGAGTGCAGAATTAAAAAAACAAAGAGAAAAACATCATCAAGAAAATTACGCCCAAAGAGAACGTTTTCTATCTTTATTAGAAAAATATATAAATAAATAAGAAATGTGATTCCAAAACTTACTGTGACGTTAAAATAAAGTTTATTTTTTAATTATATTATTAAAATGAGTTATATTATATTATTAAGTTTTTATTTTATTATTAAAATGAGTATGAGTTTTTATAATATTATTAAAATGTATAAGTAAGATTTAAGTAATAATTTAAGTATATGACTATTAATATTGGAGAAATGCTTATATATATATATATTTAAATATATAACAAATAACAAAAAGTTTATATAAAAATAATGTTATTTATATATTATTCAATATGTTATTTATTATTTTAAAATGTTTTTATGGAAATATATATACATATAATAAAAATATACATGGTGTTTGATATAAATCATATAACTGCTCATGTAAAAGTAGAATTGATTAAATAAAAGTCTTCTACCATTTTGCAAACAACTACGCAAAATGTCGTGTTATTAGTGTTTGAAAATAGCAATATATAAAAGCTTCTTTAATAAATAACTCAAAAACTTGCGTATTATTTGTACAATGGTATAGGACTTTTTTGTTCAGAGTGACCTAATCTACAAATATATAACAGCTGTTGTACCTAGTGACAGACATCAGTATATTGAACCTTGCACCTCTCGCTAAATACAATAGTTATTATATACTTGTAGATTAGGCTACTCTGAACAAAAAATGTTTCTTACGCGCGGATACAATATTAAGAAAAATTTACTACGTACATTGCTTCTTTTTATTTCAAGATTTTATTTTAAAATTATATATGTAAAAGTATATGCTTTCAGATTATATGCAATATATTTGTTAAATATGATCACATATATATGTTTGTAGGTTTTACAAATATGCTATTGCTTTATGCTATATATTTTTTCTTTAATTACAATTAATGTAATTAACATTACATATAAAATTATTAGAACTTTTATTATATTATTAGGAATTTTAACATATGGCTACGTGGATCATTAGTGGTTTATGCGGTAAATAATTGATCTTTTCATTGAAGTTGCATAGAACATTTTATTTAACGTTTTCTTCATAATTAATATGTGTAATCCATAAAAATATATAATTTTAATCATGCATTATCTATTACAATATTCTTACAATAAAGTAGAAATGAAATCTCTTTTCTCTATTCCGTCCATTAATGCAATATCATTATTATCTTCCATATCTATTGCATCAAATTCCATATGTGCGTCTTCATTCTCTATACATATGTAAAATACAACAAGTAAGTATAACCAAAAGTATCATTTCTGTATTATACATATAAATATATTTCAATTTTCGAAATCTTCCTTTCAACATACCAAAAGCACGTTCAATAACTACACGCGTTCTTGACAATTTTGTGTTGAAGTTATTTTGTAAATTATTTAAATGACCATTATCTTGATAAGGAGTTAGCATATAATGAGATAAGGGGTATGCTGAATCAGCCAAAATATGATACATATTTTGAAAATATCTATTTTCATTTTGCGTTATTAGTTGTTTGATATCGCTTAAACGCTAGATTCTTGCATCATGAACGCTACCACACATTCCTGTAAATACATCTATAAATCGTAACTTATAATCGCAAATCCCTTGTAATACTATAGAATGGTAACCTTTACGGTTAATATAATTGTCGCCATTTTCTGTTGGTGCACTTATTACTATGTGGGAACCATCGATTGATCCAATGATGCCAGGAAAACCATTCATTTTATGAAATTCTCTTTCTATCTTTATTATTTCGTGAGATCCAGGCCATTTAATATATGTACCAACATCATCAGTTAATAACATTGCTACTTAAAATACAATTCTCCAAACGGATTCCTTAGATATTTCAAATCTATTTGCCATTGAAAACAAAACAAAACAAAACTAAAACAAAAATTTTGTATGCACACATACTTATATATAAAATTATCACAAATATTTAATTAAGAAGTCAAAAATAAATGAAAGAAATGTAGAAGAAAAAAAATGATTTAGCCAAATACACTATTGCAGATATTTTTCGTATAAAAATAAAATATACTAACCTATATACTTCCTGATTACCAAAGAACCATAAGGCAATAGCTATTTGCTTATTTGCAGGCATGTTTTCAGAGTCGTGCGCATTCAGACGTGGCCCAAGTGTTTGTACTAGTTGTTCAAATGTTCTTTTCCACTCGAAAATATGATTTAAAATCTATTTTAATAGTGTTAATATAGTATAGTTTATTGTAATCAAAACATATAATGCAACATTTATATAAACTTAAAAATAAATTATTATACAGCAAAACTTCAAATTCTTTTACCTGTCAATGAGTATGTTACGACAATGTTTTCAAAAAAATGTGGGATCCTTATATGATGTTCCCGTGGAGGTTGGAAGTTATCCTCATCTTCATCAGATGGGTGATCAAAAAATATTTCCCACATTTCTATTACATCCATTTTTTATCTAAAACTGTTTAGTTGTAATGAGTATTAAAGTATAAAAAAAATAACTCAAATAATGTTAGAAAATAATAACATTGGCTTCATTTACATCGTGCACTTGATACTATTTAGTACGCATATCAAGTGTACGATGTAAACCAAGCCATTAAGAAATGTTTGTAGAATTACATATAATTTAAAACAAACTGTGCAAACAAATCTATCTTGTTTTGTCAATATACTCGAATAATATAATTTATTGTGGACTTGCACCTGCACGAATTATATAAAAACAATATTTGCAAATAGGTTAAAATAGTGTGACTTTTTACTTTAGGATAATATTTAAAAAATATAATATATATTTTAATGGTTATATAACTTTAATTAAGAATAAATAAAATATTATTAGAAAATAACACCAGATGATTTTATAATCAATAATACAAAATTATTACCTCGTATATCTGTCACGATATTGATCTGCCTAATCCACTGCTTGCAGTCGTGAGACAGCATTGGGTAGCTTTGGATTGTCATGAATCATAATAGTAGTAGATGGTGATGTCTGTAACTTATTTCGGCCCTAGTGGAACTAACTCTAAAGCCCATTATACAATTGCGTAAGCGTAGTCGTGAACGTAAGAGTCAACCAATCCGAATGTTTTATTCACTGATTGCTTTACTCTGATAGGTTGTCGTAATCACTTACAACCACTTACAACCACGTTCACGCAATTGTAGAATGGGCTTAACTCGAATTGTCGTAAACACCCATAATCACACCAGCAGAGGTGTTCAAAATATATCATAGGGATATCCTAAAGATACATTTGGGATGTGATATCTTCAAGATATCCCTATGATGTATTTGGGACATTCTTGCTGTGTGGGATATAAAAATCAACAATTTTTAAAGTAACAAGAAAAAAATCTGATTTGCAAGGGAAATATAAAAACACAAAATAAAATATTTATATAATTTGATATCAAATTTGTATTTATTGTATTTATTATATTACATAAGAATATATAATATTTATATAATATTTATATAATAGTTATATAATAAGAGATATATAATATATGAATAAAAAAAAA